TATGAATCAATAGAGTATAGCTGGATGAGCTTCTTGGCATTCTGGCTACTTGCTATTAAGCAAGAGCTGAACATCAAAATTAATCATTTTACCAAACAGTTGGAAAGCAGAAGTTCCCTCGCAAAATCATCCCTTGGGGCTCCGGTCCACACCATCAATCTGTCAAATAATCAGCACTTACTCTACACACAGAAGCTCAGATGCAGAATATGGACTAGAAATCTCTACTGTGGCATCAACAGAGGAAAGCTTTGCCACAAAATAATTTGATGCTAAATTCTAAGGTCAGCTTCATTTCAAAGACTGGCCTTTAATTTTTAAATTATTTTAAAAATATATATATATATTCATGTTACCAAATGTGTTTTTCAAGTTCATTTTCTGCTTTTCTCATTTTCAACTTCTCATGTTACTATCTCATAGTGCTTGCTGGCCTGCTTAATTAAAATCTGCACAGCATCCTTAAGAATAGATAGATATACATCAATATTATTGACGTGCATAGACAAAAAAAGTGGAGTTGCTCAGAGGTTAAATGATTTCTCTGCTGTCTCACATCAAGCAACAGAGGGAACTTAAAGATTTTAAAGTTCAGATCCTTGCATTCTGCATGAGAACCACACTTGTATTGAATTTTGTCAATTAAATAGCTTCTATCCATAGCAAAAGTAAGGAAAACAGCCAGCCACCATGCCTTAGATATTTGACAAGAACCAGTTGTTATCTCTGTGATCAGCTTTCACAGTCACAATCATGTTCTCTTCAATAGTTTACATTTAAAATGCTTATGTAGTTACTTAGCCAAGCTTTTTCACAGAGACCAACTAACTTTTTTTTTTTTTCCACAGCCTTACTTACATTTAAACATGGTAAATAAGTTTAAAAATAAAACTATCAGAGGAAAATAATAAGAAAAAATTATTAAATCCATACACTGACTAGCTCAGAATCAAGTCCTCTACCTGTCCAATACAGGACAACTTACAAATGAAAGTTAGAGGGCAGTTCTGTGTGAATTTTAAGACTGTGGGGATCACTGGCATTATATTATTGAACACATTCACCATGGTAAGTTTTATCACCTTCTTTTCTATTTAACTTTAACAAGTGTGCTCACACCACAGGACTTACCTAATTTCTCTACCTGCATTCAGAATATTGCTGTGTATTTCTCTGCCTTCAAATGAAATAATTCTTACCCAGGTGTCCAGCTTCTGCTAATTCCTATTGCTCACATAGCAGAGAAATTGTAAAAAGCATAAAAGATGTCTTAAGATTGATATTGTACAGTGTTTGAGGATTACAGACATCAATAGATAAGACTTAATGCAACAAAATCCTGTGCTTTAGGAATGGTGAGAGTAGACTAATTTTAGCCCTAAGCTAGAGTTGGTCTAGTCGTGTCATAGGTACTAACTATATAATTAATCTTGTTGTCATCTTCTCTTTGATACTAAATATGCAGAAGACTATGCTGGTCTTACAGGTTATCATCCTAATTTTTATTTGGTATGTTTCCCAGGGCTTCAAAAGAGAAATTGGCTTCCCATACAAAGATGCTTCTTTATAGAAGAATTTCTCCTTGAATTAACACCAAATTGGTTTTAATTCCCACAATAGAAGATGACCAAATATTACAAGATGACACATTCCCACTGGGGTGTGGACTTAGAAAAAAGCTGAGCACCAAGGTAACAAAAAGCTAAGCCTTAAGACCTTCAGTTAAAACATCCTGTAAAAGAGGATTAAGTTCAGCTACATCAAATCCTCTGCACAAACACAAAAGACAGCTTCTGAATGAAAACCTTTTGAAATGGCCAAACACACTGAAGGGAATTCAAAGTTTGTCAGGAATTGTAAGAAAACAGGTTAAAAGAATCAAATGACATTCCAATTTGACATCTGACATACAAGGTGTGTTACTGACTAGGCAACATACTGCAGCTGACGAGCACACTCAGCAGGACTCAGTCATGAATTTGAGACCTTTGCTGAACTCGGTCTGGAAGGTCTAACAAAGCAAATGAGGTTTATGGGAAAGTTAAGTACTTATACAGGAGCTTCTCCACCAATACCTGTGTTTAAGACAATCCTTAATGCACCTTCCATCACTCTCATGTTTCATTTAAGTTCATTTCCCACTCCCTCAAGTTTCTCAAGACAATAACATTTTATGAAAATGTCTGATTTCAGAAATTATACTTCCATTCCCAAACATAACATGCTCTAGCTGCTTTCTGCAGTTACTATCTGAATGCAAAATTACTTTTGCCAAAGAAGGTGGAGAAGGCAGCAAGTGGTTGAGTAATACCTGTAAATGTGTCCTTTCTCTTTGGCTGAGTCATAGAAATTAACAATATTCAAGTTCCTACCAAAGATGAAATTGCAAAATATACTTTAGTATCTAAGCCACTATAGAGAGGCAGCATATTTGAATTTCTGCTCACAACAGGGTAGGATCAGACAAGATCATTTTACAAGATCTAACTGTGTGACTCTTCAGGCAGCAGTAACTAGGTCATTTCCAACCATCTGTTCGTAGCCCTAGTCTCCCTGTGGTCATTGCTAGAGCTCTGCACTAATTAATTTTCACCTGCTAATCAGTGGAGACACCTCTGAAACGAACAAATCACCCAGTTTTAGTCAACAGTTCTGGACTCCTGTAGGTGGCATTTCCATGAGGTTTTTATTACCAGTGAAGGTAAATTTTTTTCTCTGAAAGACGATCCCTTTTAGGGCTTCTGACCCATTCCACAAACAACAGCACTGAGAAATAATAAAGTCCTTTTCACCTTTTTCTTCAGGCAAAGAACAGACAGTACATTGAAAATTGCCTCCAAATCTTCAACAAAATACTTTATTTTAAAATATGCCTAAAAGACATGCTGAGGTCTCCCAGAAGGTCTGTAAGGGAGCAAGAAATTGAATAACATTTTCCCAAGCCCTATGTAAGCATTCCAACCACTGCAAAACCTTTCCCTTCCAATGTAGCTTTAAATACAGTGAATAGTTTACTACAACGTCACTGAAAATTCATCTTAAATTGTGAGAAGTTTAATACATAGCTCCTAATCAGAATGGCTGCATTTCATTTGTTCTGAAGACTGATAAAGCAAAACACTTAATACCATATGCTCTTCAAACCTATCAGCTCTCTCTAATGGCACAACTTTATCTATCTTTGCATTTTGTTATATACATGTTTTCCACGTATATATCTATTATTCCTTTTGCAAGTTAAAAAAAGCCTCCCAAAACATTACAGTCTTCAAATGAGTTATTTTATCTTCATGGAATTATCCTGCTTTTAAAAACAAACTTTTTGCATTATCACAGTAGTGTTCCTTTGACTTAGTAGGTGCTGTAATAGGAGCCTGGGGAAAAAACTCATGTAGATAAATAGTAAGAGAAAATATCTGTACCCATGAAAGCTGCTCAATGAGAAACAAATGGCAAGAGATTATGATCTAGTTTCTATACTACTGGTATCTCGGCCAGAGCTCAGAGAAGCATGATTTACAAGATGTGAAAGTGCACAGCATTCATGAATAGTCCACACTAAATAAGGTCAAAATAACTGCTCACAGAAACTATTATTCACCCTCATGAGTGTATAACCACTTGGAACAGCAGCCAGCCAAGTAGGATAGCTCCTGAAGTGTAGCAAGGACAGCTCCTCCCCAAATTCCCCACAAGCAGTATTGTCATAGTGAGTGGATATGGTTGTCACCTCACCTGTATGCAGCTGCAGCCAGTCAATCAAATATTTGCAATCCTATCAGCAGGGGTTAGACACCATTCTAAGGGATATATTCTATAATCCCTGCTTTTCAAGATTTATGACTACTATAGAACACAGCAGAAGCAAAGGAACTAGAAAATTACATACTTAGAGCCTGATTTTTGGGTTAGAAGGTAATAGGTGGTGCATTACATTCTCAGGCTTGCAGGTGATGCTTCAAGGGTGCAGCCAAGCGTCTTCATGCAGCCAGTTACAGGGCCAGGGTCTAATGGCCACAGTGCCATGCAAGCAAGAAATGGAAATGCACCATGCCCTGGATCTACGTATGGTGAAGTTCAAAACCAGGACTCTAATTCAAACCAAATTGCCTCATCTTTATGAAAAGCAGAGGCCACACCTTAGTGACTATTAAAAATACTTTTTTAGTGCGCAATTTGTTTTGCATCGTTGGGGTCAACTGAAAAAGAAAGAATGAACATACCCATGAACATTTCTGTGATATGAATTACACGTGAAGAGGAAGAAGGAGCAGAGCAGTTGGCACTGGAACTGTCACATGCACTGTACATCAGACCTCAGGCACTGGCAAATTTGATCCTCCACTTTTCCCTTTTCTCCCAGCAACGTGCTCCCAGTGGTAACTCAAACACTGTGCCTGACCTTGTTTAAGCATTGATTAAAACATGTGGGAGAGAGAAGGGTCAAGAGCAGGTCATTCACTGGCTCACCTATGTTTTCAGTTAGTTTTTAAAGGTACAGGTTGGTGTATACACCACCAAAGCTGCAATGCAGAGAGTGCCTGCAGTGAGTATGCAGGAGCACAGAGGGTTGTGAGCACTGGAATGATTCTCCCTCATGTTTCCAAGAGGAGAAGACCACTGACAGCAAGGCAAGACTCAACGTTTTTCTGAAGTTGGCTGTCAGCCTCACATTCTCTCCTTTCTCAACATGCAACTTTGGTTTTTAAGCTTTTTGTGTGTGCTATAAGACATGCATTAGTAAAAATGAGTGGTATCAGTTAATTATCAGAGCAATTGTGATACCCTTATATAGCACCTCAACATGTCAAGAGAAGCTTCTCCTTTTGGTGACAGAACATGAAGTGAAGAATATGAAAACTGCCTATATAATGCTGACACAGGAATGCCTCTTAAATAATTTTATCAGCAAAAAGGAAGCAGTCTGCTGGTAACAGCTAAAGATCACATTTTAATTTTAGCAGTTGCAGTTAACTCATTCCCAATGGAGTTGCACTTACCGTGAGAAGGTTTCTAACTGCTTCAGCACTGAAAGGAAACAAGCATCGAGTCATTCAACTGCAGTTCTAGATGTAAATATGCTTTTTGGCCCATGAAGGGAAAGCATATGGAATCTGCTGCTATAACCCATTCAGCTAAACATTTCCACAAATGTCTTACAGTGCAAATGCTGAAAAAAAATAATAAAATCATTCCTGTTCCACCCAGTGTTTTAGCTGTCCCTATGCAAGTATGCTCATGAGCATACATGTGTGTTCTGTCTTGGACAGAGCATGTGTATAGGAATGATATGAACACTGCAAACCTAGAATGAGTAAGAAAAGTTTTAATCAACAGATACATTTCTCTAGAAATCCAACAGCTAATTTTATTCATAGATTATGATTATGCCTTACATAACTCAACAGATATTAAGCTAATACATTACATTTTTTATTAAACTTCTGCAGACCATAATATAAACTGTCCAATTTTTTATTATTATTATTTAACTCCCAGACTGGTGATTCAGTATAAAGAATTTTACACAATACAGTAATTTTCTGCATTAACCTCTAGCAGGGCCTATAACAGAATCCACATCATAGCTAGTTAACAAGTGAGGAAATAAAAAAAACAAAAAGCTTCCTTATAGCAAAGGTGATTTAGTGCAATGTCCTGAATAAAATTCTTTCATAGTTATGAGACTTTTGTATGATCCCAAAGCATGAACTTAGTGCTAAGGAGAATCCTAGCAGCTAATATCTAAGCGTATTTAAAAGAAATAAGGAGACTCCCTTGGTGATAAAAATAAGGCTCTTCAAAGAGCCATTTTTCAATGAATCGTGTAAACAGATTTGCACTTCAGAATAAAATCTTGAGCAAGTTATTTCACAGTAGGATTAAGAATTCCATTTTCAGTCAAGAAGTGTAAGAACAAAGAAAAAATGTTAAACCTAGCAAGAGTCAACATAAAATTATGATGTAATGTCAAGTCAAGTGTTCTTGAACTGTCACTTGGTTTTCTGCCCAGATTAATCCCTGCCTGTGACTGAGTAGAGGCAAGGAAATCCCAAGTGAGCTGGACTCACACAAGAATCAGGAAGGTTTTTCAATTGAGAGTGAAGCTTGTCACTACAGATGAAATTGTACGACTGGGGACCTATTTATTAGCAAAATTCACTGAGCAACTGAACATGCTGACAGGTATTCAGGAAGGGACTCTAGATGTATATAGATATAGATTAATCAAGAATTTAATACATTCTTGATGCATTCATGGCATTAATATGTAGGCAGATGCAGGCTCATTGTGTCCTTTCCCCGGTTCCCTTGGGATTGGAAAGAAGGGAATATAAATGGGAATTATGTTGACATTTTTCCCCAGATGTGCAGACACTGAAACACAACAGGGGAGGAAACCACATTCAAACAGCTAAAGCCTCAAAAAAGAGCTGAAATGTATGAGGATGCACATTACAACTGATATAAAGTACACACCTGTTCTACTCTGAAGGGCAAATCAGCACCTAAGATATGTTGAACTTCAGATGTAAACTCCAGTCTTTGTTTTCAATGATACATACTGCTGAACTGTGGCCTGAGTGAACAGTAAAGGGTGCTGCCCTAAAATCCTAGGTACCTCCAAGGGTTACCTTGGAAAGCTTAGATGATATATAATGTCCACAATTATTTTCACTGCTCTGAAAATTTAGCTCCCTACTCATCCATTGCTACAAATTGCTGGAGTCTGTGAGCAAGTGGATACACAATGGTTAACTTTACAGAAATATGACTGCTGCTTAAAATCAGAGAGGGGAGGGATGACAACAATTTATTTGAAAATGTATTAAAAAATGGAGCTATAGGCATAAATACATTCACTTGATTTATTGATTAATAGTAAAATTTGGAATGCTCATGTGCATCTTTGCCTTACTTAGCAAGAAACAGACTGGCACCTCATTTCGCTTAGCAGCAATAATTTTATTTTTTTCCTCAGATAATATAAACTGACTATTGTAGCATAATTTTTTTTAGCGAAATGTCAGAGAAAATTTACTCTCTACACTCCTTATTTGATGATTTGTAGAAATATGCAGCTTAAAGCTTTAGTCACTGTACAAACAGAAAAGGTATTAGGACAGAGAAATTAAAGTTGTTACGGACTGTTGCAAATAAAACATTATGCAGAAAATTATTATTCCTTTTGCAGGCATTAATTATACTGAAAAATATTTGTCCTTTCGCTGCAATCACTATGTGTCTGTCTTACATGTATATTTAATGAACAAAAACACATGATAAAACAGACTGGTTCCTGATGCAGCAGGAAACTAAAGAACTAGTTGTTCCCTTGACTCAAATGGGGGAATTATTTCTGAGTGTTCAGAACATATTTAAACATCTAATGGCTGCAAACTGGCTACTGATCTTCTTTTTTGTTTTGTTTTGTTTTGTTTCATTCTATTGCACGACTGGATAAATTGTATTGCTTTTTTGTAGTCTCCTTCCCAGAGATCTCTTCCCATTGCAACTATATTGCATTCAACTCTGTCATGGCCTCACTCAGCTATGTGACCTCCTCTCACAGGAGTGAAATCACAGGAGTTAGCTGTCAGGGACCACTGTCTATTCCCTCTTCCTCCTTCTTCCCCCTAAGAGCAGAGCATTTAATTGTTGTCTGGGGCACCTGTGCTTTCCTAGCAGCAGAACCAGGCACTGCTTTCCACTTCAACCTGTAAAGGCTGGAGGCAACTGAGAGCCGAGAAGAGCACAAGCTACATTCTCCTAAATTATCTTGGAGTAAAGGTGGAGATGATCAAATGAACACATTAGAAAAGAGAAAGCACACCTGAGGGTAGGAAAGGAATCAATGGGGATGGGATGGGGACACGAAAGAAAAAAAAGGAAAGGAAAAAAAAAAAGGAAAAATAAAGGAAAAGCGGGAACAGATCTCATGTGAAATGGTGTTTCAAAGGATAAAAAAGCTCATATCCCCCATTAGCTCTAGTTTTGAAGAACCACGTGAGTGATAACACTCCTTGTGTGTTGCTACCACAGAAGGCAGGTGCATGCATGTGTACTGGCATCAAACCTACGGGGTTAGCTCCCATCAGGCTGGGAACAGCTGTGCTGGGAGGCCAGCCCTGGAGCATCCCTGCTGCTCTCTCAGCATCGGCTAGAGGGATGCAGCACCACCTTTCCAGGCACCTCCTGCTTTGAGAGAGTATCGATGAGGTCTAACTGCCCCATGTTCCCCATATCAGGAGATATCAAATGTTACTCTCCAAACTGTTAATGATTTAGAGAGGAGCAGCAGACACAGAGTCTTGAGGACTAAGCTCCTCCTTGTTCACCCACAAGCATAGGCGCAGAGGGGCAAACAGTGCAAGTTCTGCCTTCCTGGCCTGGATATGGTGTGTGCAGCCATGGAAGTGTGTGTGGGAGGATTTCCTAGGATGGGAACAGATAGAGCTATCACGGATGAGTGATTAGCAAAGGCAGGACTCATCTCACCATACTTCGATAACCTAGAATTTAAACATCTAGTCTAGGTCAGTTGTCTGAGCTACCTCTGAAATCAGTGGGGACAGACAAACTGGTTGGTGTCGGACTCAGCTCCTGTTTTAACAGCCACTTCTCTATAATAATTGGGAAGGCTGGAGGGGTGTGTGTGCAGAAAAGCACAGTTCTAAAACTTCAAAAGCTTACCAGTCTCACTTTGAGGGTATAATGACTAGAGATTAGTCTGATACTACTAAGCTCTTTGCATCAAACAATTTTCAAAATAGTGAATGCTTTCAATGTGGGCTAGGTATCCAAAGCCTAAGAGCTCATAATCCTCCTGCCACTCTCTCTGAAATGTTGCATTCCTCATACAAAAGAAAAATGAAGTGCCTTATTTAAGTGGTCTTGAAATAATAAATAACCAAATTGTCATGTACAAGCATTTTTACTTCCCTAGCTGAATCCACCATAAACGGGACTAAACATGCACATTGTCCTTGGTTAGCTCTATATTTACATAAGTTCTTTGTCTTCCCTCATTATACTACTTCAATTTTTGTTCAACTACCAGCTTTACCCATTTGTAAAATAATCACATAAGTGAGGAGAAGTCTGATGTTACTTGCCATAATAATCTTAAGGAAGATTTAAAGGGCTTTTACATATTAGGCCTAGCAACCATAGCTTACAAAAATAGACTACAACTTCTTGTCTTAATCTGAAATAAATCAGGGAATGGTCAGATCTTAACAGGGGAAAAAAGGACAGAGATGCTTCCAGAAAACTAGTGACTCTTCTGTGATATCAGATCCTACCAGGAAAAGCGAAAGATCACTAAATTTTACTAATTAATCTGTAAAGACCAAAATGATGTGGCTTTTAAAGGAAAATTAATTCCTAGCCTAGAAAAGATGCTATCTGCTGTATATTTCCCTATTGTGTGCTACATATTTTTCAAGTTCTGAAAACTTGTGAGTATAGCCTACATTGTGGATGCATTTACATTCTGCTGAATGATGAGAGGTGTCTAAAATTTCATTGTATATGAACTACAGTTAATAACAATATAAAATTTCTAATATTTGCCATAGACTAGTAGCTCTGACTGAGTAAGTCTTACTAGTGAAGTACTATCAGTATGCAAGAGATGTAAAGTTGGGTGTATGCTTTGATGTAACATTGCTCTTCATTGTAACACAACCTCAAATAATAATGTCAAAAAACTGTTATTCAAATTCAATAACATGTATGCAGTGAAGCATCATTCCCTGCTTAGATTTCATTTCTCTTACCTGGTCTCTTCTGTAGCTATAAAGAAACCATCATCTGAAGCATCAAGCCAGTTTTGCCTCTGTCTCTTGATGACTGGAATGGTGCTTGTCTTAATGGCACTTGCACTGGCCTGCAAGGCCTTACCATTACTCATATGAACACGGGGAGCAGCGTGCTGAAATCATACAAAAAACCAGGAAAAGTATTTGCCTGAGAATAAGAATACTTCTGTGCACTAGCTCTCCTGTAAAGGGCAGCCTAAACAAAACAACCTTCTCAAAGATCTGCTAGTCTTCCTCAACCAGTACCTGGGGGTCAGCTCTGTGTGCATTGACATGTTTTATCTACAGAAACCCATTGGTGTTAGGAGAGAATTCACATTTTCTAAGCAAAACCCCAGCATCCCGAGAACAACAATAAGATATGAGTCCTGTTTTTTCATCCATGTATGGCATTAATCTAATTTTTAAAAAAGACATACTACTCATTTCATAGGTCCTGATTCTGTCTGTCTTGTTAAATAAAAGTCACTGAATAAGACAAGTGGTTTGGTCTTGTTGCTAACTTAAATGGAAGCAGGGTATCAAGGGTTTAAATCAACTTGCTGGTGCCACAGTTGTTAGATTTACTCACCAATATTCCATATGAGAGCTGACTGCAACATGTCTGCATTCCTTTTCACTGAGGTAACATTAAACTTAAAACGATGCATTAATTTTCCACCAAACCTATACCTGGAAACACTATGCAAGAAGAGAGCAAGTACTCAGGTCTAATGGGAGAAGCTGCCTTCTGATATATGAAAAGGAGAGAATGAAAATACTGCTTTCCATACCATTTATTGGTAAGATGTTAGAAGAATATCCCATAACAAATATATTAATTTTGGAAATTCAAATCTTGTTTCCCACATAATTGACTATCAGCAGGACTAGTTAATAACACTATTTGATTGAAACAGATGAAAGTTTGCTTGCTTTCTCTCACATGGATTCAACATCATGTTTTCTCAGGAAGAAGTACTATTTTCATGGTGAAATAATACCTGAATCCCACATTACTGATAGCATTTTTGTAATATCTCTAAAATGCTCACAATGCTGCACCTTCACAGGAGTACCAATTCCACAGAGCAAAGAAGGGGCTGGCAACATGCACAAAGACTAGCAGGACAACACAACACTGAACTCTTACATCATGTAGGAAAAACATAACAGCCAAAAATAATAAACAAAGGCATCACTACTTCTGCACAATTTTTACACATATATTCAATGCCTTATATTCACATTATGCCACAAGTTCAAACGCACCCCGATCCACACCATTTGTTCCCTCCAGCATGACAAATTTTATGCATTACACAAAAAATTCCACCATTCATTATTTTAGTGCAAATAACTGAATAATCTCCTCTATGATTCCTTAGATCCGATGTAATGTAACCAAACAACAACAAAGAAAGCAGCAAGACATTAAATCTGAGTGAGTCACAGATAACTCTTTCTTAAAGCTAAACTGTTTTCCTGTCTTAGCAACAAATAAGGCTTATTGTGAATTTAGCTGGTGCTGCACACAGTTAGGGCTGTATATCTCCTTGTAGTCCCTCTAAATATTTGCCTAAATTTTTCCACTATTGTTTTTTCAGTGTCTAGACTCCAGTTTGCTTTTCACATTTGTTTTGTGTTGGCTTTGGTGGGAGGAAAAAAATAAAGGACATGCTACTTGAAGTAATTCAGTTGTTATTTAGAATAAATTCAGAATAAATTATATTTGGATAAAATTAGAAATCCATGAAAGTATTTTGTGATTTCTTAGTGTACAAAGTGGATACTGCTCAAAAAGGTAATAGGAATTCATGCATGGAAAATGGTGCCATACATCAAATTTCACAGCACATCCAAGCTAACTGTACCTGGCAATAGGCAGTGCCATATGTTACAGGGGAACATTCAAGGGCTCAAAGGGCAATTTTTTGCTGTGCTTTCCCAGTCAGAAATGGGTTTAAGTTATCAAATATAATGGTTTTCTTTTCACAAGTTCCTTTCTAATACCCCACTGAATGTTTCCTTAACTCGAGACAGCATGCACAGGCAAAAAAAGGTTCAAAGTAAAAGGTATAAAAAGTGTATTTCCTATGGCATAAACTCTGAAGAACAGTTAAACCTAATGGAAGAAGTATGTGGTTTTTCATAATATATTTTCCCCTGGCAGAGACAGATGTTGTTACTAGTTCTGAAATTCTCTTTTGTCTATTTTTATTAGACCCTCTTATTCCAGGCAAGAGATAACATTTGGGAAAATAGTGCAAGGTTACAATGCAATCTCATTTCTGTTGCATGATATTGGCTAAAATTTTCTCTTTTATTTTCCTTCTCCCCCAATCCTTCCAAACTATTTGAAGAAATTAATTACATTTCACTTAAGGACAAGAGAAAATAAGACCATTGTTCTCCAATTTGTGTGCTAGGGACCACATTATCTTTAATTTCTAGTTAATCAAAACAATTGAAGTTCTTGAATAATTTAGGATGAGATAATCAGTTCATTAGTTCCTCTCAAAAAATCTATTTGCCACTGTGTATAAAAATGAGCATTTAATTGCCATTGCCATACTAATATCAACATCAGGAGCAAAATAAACTTGCATACGAAATACTTGTTAAATGTTTTTTGAAATTGTTTGTTCGTTTGCTTTTTCCCTGTGGGCACACAGTTATGCCAGGAAGGTTATCAAAGCCTCAGGGATACCACCTGTACTACCACAGATGCCCTATTCATTCAAATACCCCGCACGCAAAAAGCTCCAAATAATTTCACCTTAACACTTCTGTGTGCAATGAGCCACTGGCATTTTGCTTTTGACTCTGTACATCACTAGTAAGCCACACTGTGATTTTGCAACAAAACCACTGGTCTTAAGAGTCCACATGCCAGTGGCACATCCCAGGGGTTAAGGCACTCTGCTTCAGGCAATGTTACATCCAACAGAGAACACAAATACTTAAGTTAGCACAGAGATGTTCGGGAAGAGAGTCAACTGCTGAAGAGCAGGTCTCCATGGCTGCAGACGCATCACAGATCCAGAGACCTCTGAGGCCAAAGGCAATCTTTTAAAGGTCTTCAACAAGGAGGAGTTTATGGGAAGAGCATTTGTTAGAATGTCTTTACAGCTTCACGCAGCCCCTGCTAAAACATTTCCCTGTGGGTACTGTTCTAGGATATTTCACTCACAGGTTCGATTTGTGAGAGCTGCAAGAGCGTGCATTTCCCATTTGCATACACTAATGTTCCTCTCCCAGAAAGCAAAAGAGACATCTCCAACGTTCAATGAACACAACAGTCCCTTTCATGAAGAAGATATAGAAGAATATGACTCTCTGGTACATCTTCCAGAAGCAGCAGTATTTGTTCAATCAGTTACTAATCAGTTGCTTCACTGTACATACAGGTCTTTCAAAACAAGGTACACCAGGCACAAGGCTTGACTGTGTCTAAGAAACAGGAATTAATGGACTGTGTATACATATATATATATACACACACACACACACACACACACGTGATATATGCTGTAGTGGCAGCTACTAAGGTTGGATACCCGGTTGGAACTGGTTGTCCAAAGACACCTATGAAGATACTTCACAAACAACTTACTATTAAGTGGCAACTTAAGACAGCATGTTTACCATGGAGGGCAAATCTGTCCTCACTAGCTCCCAGAGAAAACTCAAACAGAAGGATACTAAGATGCACCTTGGGAAGCCAAAGAAGGAATCCTGTACAAATTCAGAGATGGGACTTAGATCCTAAATCACAGTCAAGGCTCCTTTCTATAAATTTCTCAACTTGTACAGGGATATAAATGGCCAAGCACTTATTAATTGAGACCCACTTAAGAGTCTGGAAAAAATATCCAGCTTTGAAATAAATACATAACACCAAAAGGCATTATAAGTGTAAAAAGTAACAGTGAATGTTTATGCTGTGATAGAAAAAACATTTAACAGGATTATCCTAAATTCCTAAGTGGACTTGAATATATGATCTCTTATTTCTTCCCCATCCTTTCCAAAAGGAAAAAATTCCCACTGCCTTAAAATAGCATCTTAAAAATTTCTGTCACATCTTTAAACAAAATATCAAATCAAATCAGAGCAACAGCAGCTCCTTACATTGAGAAAATAAAATCAGGAGAAGAATTCAGGCATGCTCAGATGATTGTTAATAATCCATATTAACTGCTTCAATATATTTTGCATTGACCTAATCATACAGGTTATACTGTAAAACAAGTTTAGAATTATGTTAAGTTTAAATCAGGTATTGATTCTGTTTTGCCACACCTGGAGTGTTCTTACTCACAAAGGCAGTGGCAGAACACCTGTATAAGAATCAAGGTTTGGTGTTGATTTAGTTTACTTCTTTATAGGGTCTTGACTTATTCATAGAGCTTTGAGGTGATTGCAAAAATTACTAAACACAGCCTCCACACAGCATGAAGTCTCCAACATTGATTCTAGCATGCAGGCCACATTCATTTTGGATAAAGAATTTAATTTAAGAAACCTGAAGGATATTAATAAAAGATTTTCAAACAACAGGTCAGAAAGAAGAAATCAACCAAATAGTCAACACAAGTATTCCTTTTGAAACTCCTGATTTGCTATCAAACTGTTCATAAAACACCTAGAACAGATATAATGCTGAAAATGCAAGTCAGTGATTTTTCTGTGAAAGGGTTAAAAATAAAAAAGATGACAGCTGAGTTTCCGGAGCATTTTGGCTAAAATACTACAATGTTTACAGCCTCTGTATTTCATGGAAGTTGTACAAAAGCTGAATAAACCATGTCTTTAAAAGTAGCATTTTTAAGTAAATGTTTATTTAGAGAAATTAGGAAGTCAGTGATGAAAGACTAACCTCGGTGTTTACCCACAAGATAAGAGGACATTTGTTTTATAATTAAAACACATAAGATCTCCTTTCCCCCATCCTGAGACCTTGAAAAATTTCTAGGATTTTTTTTTTATTTTTAGGAACAAGAATCCGAAACAAAATACAGGGAGCCACCATTGTATTTAAATACAGAAGAATTCTTGTAATGTTCTCAGAAAAACTGCACTTTTCCACCAGCCAAGTACACTCTGTTCCTTACTTGAACATAAATCTGAATCTTCAGAGACAAGATCAGATTTAATGCCTTACTTATGATATTCCACCACCTGTACATGCAATTTAAAGGGAGTTCAAACACTTCACCCTCATAAGACAAAAGCCTTTTTACATCAAAGCCTTCAAGGCTATATGTATATTTGTTGTTATACCTCTCACATTCTGATTGACTTAAGAATATGCTCTGACTTCACCTGTTAGGGTATTCACCATAATCAGTCCAATTATTTCAGAATAATTATTTATTGCAGTAGTCATTAAAAAATAGATCTCAGCAGCATTGATTCACTATGTCTGTACTGAATAGATAATCTCATACTGTTCCTAATGCAAGGAACAGTGTCTTCTTCTGGCTTTACTGACATATTCTACCTACTCATTTGAGAGTAAGAAATTTTCCATTACAGGTTCAGTTATGCTTTAATTGCAGAGAACAATGGACATATTGTTACAGCCTTTTCACACTAAACAGAATACTTATTTTTAATAGTACGTTTATTTATTCAAGTGCAATGGACAATTACTTCACACTGACTGCAGAACATTAGTCTGAGAGGTCTGAGTTGTCAGCAGAGAGGTCTGGAGAGGTTCACAACACAGGAACCTCAAGAATGCAAGTTATTTAAAAACCTTGTTTTTGTCTCTTTCAAGTTTGGCCATATTTTGGCATGAAGACACTTATAAGGGCAAAGCCCCCATTTATTTGGGTCAGGTTTTAGAGCTGGTTTGATAAATTATTGCAAAAGAGAGACTGACAAAATGTGCTATTTTCAGAGTTAAATTAATAGAAAAAAAAATAGAGAGGACAGAAAAGTGAAGTTTTCACCAACTTCAGCATTAACCTCTAGCTCTTTTCCTAACACAAATGCAGAATTGGAAAGAACTGTTGAAAAAAATTACAATCCCTTCCAAAATTTTACAAGGGAGGAACACAAATAATTCCAAGCACCTCATTTTGAAATGGGTCTATTTAAACCAGGTTCATGCCAAACAAGGATTACATCACAACCAGTAGGAAACACTGCTTGTTCCAGACATATGTCTATTTTGAAATTTTGTTATCTGTAGTTCTTACCTATCCATTATCCATTTGCACTGGATTATTAATGTCTACTGATTATATAGGCAATGAACTATATTTACCCTTTGTTCTCTTCTGCATCAAGTTTCTATCTGGGAATTTACATGTCCCCCAAGTGCTGTACATACAGAAGAGGCAATAAACTTGAAAGGACACCCTGAAAACTGTAGGAATTAAAACAAATAAGCTCACACCATGTTTTGCTGGGTTTTATTCTAAAATTTCAAGATTTGCTTCAAAACCTGGTGTTTTTCTAAAAGTGGATAGCCCTTCCCCCAAATATCTGCAGGATAGGCATCAGTCATTCCCAGTCAGATAAAAGTTTTTTGATGTGAGTTTTTGTTTAGTCCTTAACTAACATTTATTAGGAGTTTGAAACGAGACTGTCAAAATTTCTCACCCTATATCAAACCAACACAGAAACTAAATCCACGACATTGGTATGCATAAAACTTTCTAAATGTCATTTTTGAAGATGTATCTGTCCATTTAAGCATTTCTCTGCTCCTGGAACCCAACCTGTCAAACTCAGGATAAAGCCAGAAACTGGAATGTGATGCAAAAAATTACTCAGTGTATATTTTGAACTTTAAATGGGGTCTAACACTCGGGGGTCTGACACTCATGATGCATGTGGAATGCAAACAATTTTACCAACAATAATTTGATGTAACAGAAAACTACTTAAACACATAACAGACTGAATTGTAACTGGATTTTGCACCAATTCAAATTGCAGCATTGCTACCTCTTTAGCTATTCAACCTCACTTTTTTTCCAAGATTTCCCATGAAATACGATGGCAGACAGACTCATCTTATCTCTACAGTGATACTGGACTTTATAAGAAAGCATGCCAACAGCTTAGGATACTGCTAGATCCACTTTGTGTTCAAAGGAAAAATCGTATCTACAGACAGAGCGATACCCTCATTCTCCTCTATACTTACCATTATTGTTCTTGTTGTACGGCTGGATGATTCTGGAAAACAAAAGAACCACAGTGCATTAGAGTACTTGTCTTTATCCATAGAAACCCTATTTTCTTATGTTCACCCAGAAGACTGAGATGCTTCTGTTCAGCTACAATATGACCAACCTATCAGAAATGCAGAGATTGGAAAGCTTTCTCATGAAATGAGCACGAGAATCGTCACTGGTCCTAAAAATATGCAGCACACTATAGCATGATGTGAGCTGCACTCATTCTCCTGGCTTAATTATCCTCTTCTGCAAGGAGTTGTAAAAATGGGACTAATTCATAATTCATATTTCAATAGTGTTTTTTTTTCATTTTGCTTTTAACGTATGGTATCATTTAACATGGAGGATTAGTTCTGCAGAAAAAAACCCCAACCAAAACGAAATAGTATCAGTATAACACCATTACTATTCCCCTTTGAATAAAAGCTTTACAAAATTAGGCAATCCTTTTTGTAGGAATTTTGAGATGGATTCTCAGTTTGAAGCTGAGAAGTGTAACATCCAGAAATCTTAAGTATTCTCTCCTAAATGATAAATCAGGAGTCAACCAACTGAACTCAGAATTGTATTTACAGAAAATTGTTGAGGAATCATACTTAGGCCAACAGCTAACATAGATTTCACCCTGCTGATTAAATTTAAATTACACTTGGTCTTCTTCTCCCCAAGGACAGAAATCCCACCCTCTTTGGCTTTAAAATGCTCCAATTATCATATTAGAGCAGTGTGCTTTTTCAAAGCTAAACATCCTCCTAACCAGATAAAAAATCTGCAAGAAAATTTGCTGCTGATCTGCAAGATGTAAAATGATGCTACTAGCAGTCTCATACACTTTCTCAAAAATTTGGATAATACATCATATCAGTTATAGTACACAGAATTCTTAAGGAAGAGACACTTAGCAACACTACATGCATTTCTGGTTAAAATGTACACAATACTGCAGGAATTGCATCAGCAGAGTCTTGCAATTCTACAAGTGAATGTATGATAATTACAATGGGTTATTTATTCTTGCCCCAGTCCCACACTGTGATTCTTACAGGGGTCCCAACTGGCACCACTTACACAAAGAACCTGTCCAATCTATCCCCAACAAGACAACTGCATTTCCTGCGAAAACCTCAACTTAAGCAGAATTATCAGTTTAGAAAAAAGGAGAGGGCTTCTTCTCAAAATACAGAGCAGATGAATAGCACAGCACTTGCAGTTACCCTCAAAAAGACCAAAGTGAACACACAAAAATCTGTACGTTTTACACTTGGATACTACAGTAATAAAATCTTCACTCTTACTCAGAGGTATTGTGCTTTTGGCATAACTTTATATGCCAAATCTATAAAAACAATGCCTACCCAAGATTGTCCCAAATACTTGATCACCCTCTCAGTTCCTCACAGAATGAAATTAAATTAATTCCACAACTGAATGAGAGAGAGAATATCTCCCGAAAGGGAAGTGAGGAACAGACAAATGTACCTGGAGGCTGCTAAACAGCATATTTTTTAAGAATACAGACTCTTAATACAATGCCAAAAGCTGTTAACTCCAGGATGTTACCATATTGATAACCTTCTAATAAAACTGAGCAAAGAAGTGCAGAAAGAACTATCTGCAGAGTAATATCCCTGAGTTGTATCAGACAATAAAAAAAATATTTTTTTTTTGCATATCTTTTTCTAAGCTTTTACTTCTATAGATACTGGAATATCATCTAAATTGCCAAGCATCTTTTAGAAATACCTGAGTATATCTGTAAATAAAAAGCTAGGGTAAAAACTATCAAATAAGTAGATACACGTCAAGAGAGTCTAGGATCTATCAGAGACTATTAACTAAGGTGCCATTGTTATACAATTCAAACCTTTACATATTTTGATACCCAAAGTTTCACATTTTAGAACTGAAGAGACACCGATTTCTTCCAGAAAATACATCCTAATTGGATATGATTCTGAGGAACATTTATGCAGGAACACACACCAGTCAATTCTGTGGAAAACTTTTACTTTTAAATGAAAAGTTGTTAATTAAGGCAACTGAGGAAGAAAGCCCTTGGTTCCAATTAAAAAGACAGCCACACAGCACTCAAAAGGCATGTTTCCCAAAAGGCTTGCACACCCATGCAACTTCCAATGCAGCCTGAGGGCAACAAAGCTTATTTTAAAACCACAAATGTCTTGATGTTCAACAGCATAGAAAAACAAAACTTTGGATTTTCAGTTTTATCTGCCAAGTTTTAGAATGCCTGAGGCCATTTAAATAATCAGGCTCAAGTTTCAGCAAAGCTGGCACCATTGGACGCTTGATTTATAAACGAGCTCTTATAGCAAATGATTTTGTGCAAGGCAGTAATCTGTACTTGCACTTCTGCAGTAGAAAGGAAACTCCAGGACACAGAATGACTCCTCTTACAGCCAATGAAGTGCTAGTGAAATGGATTGCTCCACTTTAAACAGAAATGGTCAGACATCACTAGCAACGGGTTTTAGTGATCTGATGCGAGTAAATTACAGTAAAAAGAACCTCAGTACTGACAAGATGTTTAGGAGCTTATTATTGTGGATAAATTGATGCATGAACAGCAGAAACTGCCTAGAGATGCTCGTATGCTCTTCCTACAACGTATTCATTTGAGCTCAAATAGAAATGAGCAAGTTGTAAAAAGAAATCAAGTGTTTCTCCCTGTTTATGGGCACTAGGAGACTATAAAGTTCCCCACTGTAAAACCATTTAAGGCTAAATCAGAAAAAGTCCACTGCTAAGGGATGGTGCCAGCTACAGAACTATTTCAAGTTTATACATGATTCCCCAGCAATGTGTTGTTTGTTTGTTTTTTCTTTTTCTTCTTTTAAGGGTTCTTCAAGCCAGGATGGAAACCACATTCTTAACAACACTCCAACCCTTTCCCAGCTATTCATGTATTATGTTTATATATGCCATTTTTCAGTTCTGCTGATAGAAAACTTAATTATCAGGGTCATCAGCAATACTAGTGGATGAAAGATGCCCTTTTCTAAACCTTCTGGAATGAACACACTGCAAGATAATGTCATTTAGACACGTGGAAAATAAAGACAGACATGCAATAGCAGAGGTCCTTAATCTTAGTAACACTTAGAGCTTATTGTGATGCATAAGGCGATAAAGAAACTTTTCACCCACAATGAAGTAAGCTGAGAAAGGAGGACTGTTCGTTATTTCTTCTCAACTTGGGTTATGGATATTTTAAGTGACCAAAATAATAGCTCTATTCACACCAGTCTGTAGCAGTGGAACAAGTGATCCATTTAGTGTTACTTCTAAAGTACAATTAGAAAAATATGTACTTTGTGATCACACTACGTATCAGTCTGACTTTGAGGAAGATCCTCAGTCTCCCAAGACTGAAATTTGAAACTGAAAAGAAACAAAATATAATTTAAAAAAAAAAAAAAAAATTTAAAAAAAAAAAAAAAAATTTAAAAAAAAAAAAAAAAATTTAAAAAAAAAAAAAAGCACAACAATATTAAAAACAATCACTAAGTGTTTTCCCCAAAGACAGGAACTTGCCAGTTAGGCTGCCTGAGCACTTTGTGAAGGTGCCTTCCCTATTGTATTATGTAATAAAAATTGGTAAGAACTATTGTACAGCATCGCAGCTTACAAAAAAAAAAATAAAAAATCAGCCTACTTGACAATAATCATACACAGAAGCACCTTCAGTATGAACTCCAGATCTCAAATCCAGAACATGTAATTCGTGAGGTAATATGCTGCTAATCCTGTTATCCCACAGACAGGATTCTCTTTCTGCAACTTTAATTCTTTAAAATAATACTACGGGAAAGGAGTGACTCCAGGAATTAGGTTCTGGTTATCTGCACTGTGTTTTGAATGCTAACTTGATTATAGAGATGTTCTTACTGTTTATTGTTTTAAGAGTTGATTTATTCTGCCAATTAGAAAAGCCAGTGTTATTGCAATTTCATGCCTCCACATTACCTGCATCTAAAACAAAGAAACTGTGATTCAGCAACAAAAATGAGGCAGTTCATCATGAAGTGCCCTTTCCTCCACCTGCAATCCCACACAACTTGCTCTTTCTAACCCCTGCTATTATTAGAGCTAACAGAAGTACACGTTACACTGGTGAACACAGAGATATAATGCTGTAATCTTTTTGTAAGTATTCATTTCCTTAGAACAACAACATGTAAATGATATCTGGCACACTCAGAGTGGTGCATCACAGCATGTTTGCAATTCTACTTACATGTTTGTTTGGGTTTTTTTCTGAAATAAATGCAGGGAAAGCAGCCCTGTAAGTCCAAAGGTGTATTTTTGAAAAAAAAAAAAATAATAAAAAAAAATAAAATAAATTAACACCCTTTCTATTAAATTTCTAGTGTATTTCCACCCCTGGAAATCACTCACATTTCAGAAGATACAATAGGACTAGAACTAGAGTTGAATGGATATTGTATTTTGTCTTTTGCAAAACAAAAGCAATCACTGTCTGTATTTTGAAAACCCATGACATAGTGCTATGCTACGCTAATGCTTAGGAACAGTCCCTTCTCAGAGGAAATTCACTGCAACATGGGTTTGCAGAAACGGTTTTCCTGCTCTCAAGACTTCCTGAAACTAAATTCATTGTTTAAAACCCACACTGCTTACCTTTAATCCCTGAAAAAATACTCTGCAGTTTGAGCAGTCTTTGGGCACAGAAAGGAAGACTGTTCTTTTATTTGTAATCAAAGAACCTCAAATACTTGAGAGATAACTGTAATGTGAATTCAGTGCAGGCAAATGATGACTGCACATTTATCATTGCAAGATAATAACGTTCTAAACTTTAAAAAATTCTGAAAGAAAACGCCAAACCATTTCTATTTTTCAGACAAAACCAACACAGATTTAAATATTTTCCTCCTTGTCAATTACTTTTCACATTAAGTCATAAATTGCATCACTCAGGTTGGAGAAGTGAAGACCAAAGCAGGGAAGGGGGGCTCA